ATTTTCTCCTTCAAGTACACTGTTATTGGGTGTAACTGAGCTGGTCCCGCAGCCTTCTAGAAAGCTGTTTTTTGGGGAGGCCATGTCCTTTTGGACATGGTATAGGATGCCTTTGGGGTCAGGGTCACAGTTCACTGGGATTGGTGAGAATTTCTCCCCAGTCTCAGTGAATTTTAGGCTAGCGCATAGATGTGCCCTTCTAGCTCTGTCCAGTTACTAGAGCAACAGCACAAACAGTTTTGGTCTCTAAAAGACCTTTATATGAGGTGGTGTGGGCAGGTACACTTGAAAGCCAGAAGGTCTTTGCCACCAGCTGAAGGCACTGCACTATAATTGAAGATTTCTTCCTTTTTGAATGTAACCATTGTTTAGTACTTTCAGTATATTTTTTTCTTTTTTTCCTTTTTCAGGCTACACTGGTATATCCCACAAGGGTCACTCCTGCCTTAAGAGGCAGAATGCAACATATTGTGGAAAGTAGCATTAATAGAGATGTGAATTGAGTTTTAAAAAAAAAAATTGTTTTTCCATTTTCCCCTCTCCAAAACCTCAACTCCCTGTCTCCTATTAAAGAAACATTTTACATCTGCTCTTCCATCCTGTGTTTTATAGAGTTAATCAAATTATTTCAGTGAGTTTTTGTTAAGTAAGATGTGCTGAATTTGCTCTCCTGTTCATGTTGTTTTGGGAAGAGTTTTAACTCTTCATTTTTCCGGCTCCTAATCTGAATCCATTTGACTTGTAAAACTGGATCTGATGTTGAGCTGCATTCCAGTTGTTTTTCTTCCCTTCAACCTAAGGGTTTACTTATGCCCTGTTTCAGGTCAGGATGAAGTTAGTTAACTCAAAAAATCTTCAACTTGGCAATCAGGAATCCTTATCTTTTAAAATGTCTGTTCTTTGAACAACCATATGGAGTATTACATAGGGTTACTGAGGTGTAGTGTGAGTAGTACTGAAGTGTACTGAGGTGTAGAGTGAATAGCCAATTTTATGCTATGGGATTATGAAATATTTCTGGGATGCAACTCATATGTATGCCTGTCAAAGCATACATATAAAATAAGCCAGACCTGAGCTTTGTGGTTTTTAAATTAGCTGAGTAAAAACAAGGGAGAAAACAATACTGTCTTTCTAATAGATTTCTCCTGTGTTAATGGACCTCCAGTCTTCCCCCTGAACACTGAGTGAACTGACAAAATGTTCTTTGTTCTGTTGAGGAAACAGCTGTCAAAGCTGGTGTTTCCCCTAAATAAGTTCTTGTTCCAAGTGTTTCTCGGTAATCACCATCAATTCAGAATTTTAAAGTCTATTGGCTGCAGCTTTTAGGTGAACACACCTAAACAATGAAGTCAGGATCATATTCTAAAGCTCTGAACTTCCTAAAGTATTTAGTTCTCTAGAGAATTATCAACCTAGATTATAACTAGGAAATTTGTCATTTCATGTTTTAGAGAATAAAGGAAATCTTCTTTTTAAATGACTTTTTAAATTTATTAGCTCTGTTCATTATTTCTAATCAGCATTTGATAATCCATAGATGAAATATAATCAATCTAGCTTCAGAATTCTTTCCTCTTTGCTCTGTATCTTACTTTTCTTTATTGGGTAAGAGTGTAAACTGCTTCTCTTTTCATGCGTGTCTTGCTTAGAAAGTATAGTTGCCTGTAAAGAATTGCCATCTCTGCTCATGCGTATTTTGAGGCTGCCCTCAAACTACCACCACAGCTGGAGAAGCAGGAGTCATAACACAGCATTCAGGAGGAACATCTGGGAATGGTCCGAAATGGTTAAAACCATGGAAAGGCTTGAGAAAAATGCAGTTAAGGATTCAGCAGTTTAAGCCATGCTTGGCAGCTGTGACTATGAGGAAGCAGGACGAGCGTAGCTTAGTCCTGAATTTTTGCCAGTGAGTTCTCTGGATGAATTGGAAAGGTGGTTTCTCTAGTGCAGTTTTTAGGTATCTGCTTTTGCTGCAGACTGGTCCTGGTTCAGTCTCCAGGGAGTGCTTTGATTCAGCATTTCAATGTTCTAGCTAAGTTAGTCTCCATTTCATTTTAGCAGAGGATAACTGAATCTAATTGCTCAAGCGTAACACAACTTTTTTTTTTTTTTTTTTTTTTTTTTTAACCAAAGAAAGTGTATGCAATGTAAAGTGGTTTAGTACCTTGGAAATAAGCAAGCCTTCTCCTCTTTATTTGCAATTACCTGACTTTTTTTTTTTTTTTAATTCAGACTATATTTGTAATTGAAATTGGGTTGTTGGGGTCGAGGTGTCATTCAGAAAAGCAATACCCATAGGTATGTTAATAGAAATAATCAAAATGCTTTCTTATTTCATAAATAAATTTTAGTAATACATCGACATTAATTTATAATAACTGCATGTACCAACGAGTATATTCTTTGCCATCTCCTGTCTTTAGGAAGAAAAGACAGGACAGAAGGCTTCAGAGGCAAAGGAGGTGAAACTCTATGGACAGATTCCTCCTGTGGAGAGGATGGATGAATCTCTCTCCACACTGGTTAACTGCGAGTAAGTTCTGTTAAAAACAAATATGAAGACAAATGTTTTATTTTCTTTGTATTAATTTTCAGTTTTTCTGTAGTCCCATATCCTACTCTTACCTCCTATACAAACCTATATCTACTGTATTTTAATGTGTCCTTCAAAGCAGCATCTTTTTTCCTTTTCTCCCTTTCTCCCTTTTTATTTTCCTACCATTTCCCTTACCTTTTCCTTCTGCTCACAGTTCTTGATTATCTGAGGGATTTTTTTTTCCTACAATTCTTAAATATGATTAGGGTAGATCCTATGTTAATATTAGTCCTTAGAAAATTAACTGGTTGTTCACCAGGATAGGGGTCCAAGTTTGGAATCTACCAACTAGCAGACACATTTGCGGTGCATCTATTTATTTTCCTTTGGCAGAGAAGAGTCTAAACCAGAGTCTATAATGCCACATCCACTTGTGCTCTTTATGTCTTCAATGACAACAAGCGCAGCAGCTTGCAGAGATATCTCGGTGTCTCCGAGTAGCAAAGCAACATGGTTGCTGTTTAACTGCTCAGACTGCTTTAGTAATATCTATGTTTGAAATGGGAAGTGAGAGAAAAATAAACCTAGCTAGGATTTTCAGAGAGAAATTACAGCCTTTCCAGGAAGAAATGGCAGCTCCCTTTTTAAGGCTAGACATAAAAAGATGCGATGTAAATTACTGGTGGTAGTTTCCTAGAAGCTAAATAAAGTTGCAGAAATCTTGATGGTTTGAGGATATTTTAAGTCTGTTCACATATTTAGTTGGTTCACCATCTAATGAGAGGAAAATAATTTGTAATTTATTCCTAATGCAGTGGTGTTCGTATGTGGAAGTCTTCTGATAAAGTGGTCCCTCTTAGACTGTCAGCATAAAAGTGATCGATTATTCTTGTTTTTAAAGGAAGCTGTCACTGTCCACAAACTGCATTGAAAGAATTGCCAACTTGAACAGCCTCAGTAAGTGACAAGCCAGTGGCGGCTTATATTCATTTTCTATCTGCTTGGACTGGACACATACCATAACCTGGATCTAACTGTGTATCCAGTCTTATCCTTACTAATTCCTTTACCTTAGAAAATTACATGTGATTTTAAAAATTTCCACTACTGGAGAATGCATGTTTAGCAGTAATGCTGTATTAAAGCATGTATCCGTGTGCACTGTTCTTAGCAGTTGCCCGGTGCAAGTTTAACAATAACAAAAAATCCACAAAGAAAACAGCCTTACATGTTGCAGTAAGCCTGGGTCCTTGTGTGTGTTTCTGAGCTGTCCACCATGGACCAGCCATTCCTGGTGATCTGTGTATGTAGAGAGTTTTTGCTTCTCTTATGTCATTCTTTTTTAATGCAGCTAGTTCAGAATGCAAATATTTTTAGAAATATATATACATTTTTTTTAATCAGACTTAGAGCATCATGTTGCAGTTTGAAAAGAATCTCTTATTAATAAGGTGTTTCATCTGTTGCAGAAAATTTGAGAATTCTGTCTTTGGGGAGAAATAACATAAAGAACTTGAATGGATTGGTATGTGCTTCTTAGCATTAACTAATGTTCACTAACAAAATGGAGTGTTCTCTTGAATTTGGATCACTGAATTCCCCTTAATGCTTGACTATTCCTTTCTTTTTCTCCTTTCACTACGATATTTTCACCCTCTCACATGTTGCTTCTGAATTTCCCAATTCTCTTCTTTCTTTTTTTTTTTCTTTTTATTCCCTTCAAGTTTGGAGATTTTTCAGGATAATTTACAGCTTAAAAGGATACTAGAAAAGGGGAGTTTTTTATTTTTGATAATAAAGAGCAGAGCTTTTATTTTAAAACAGTTCAGATTGGTAAAGCACTTTAAATTTGACTAGCTTTACATGGAAATATTTTCTGCTAACATTTTGAATATGGAATTTTCTTCCAGAAGATACTTGCAATATGGTTATTACTACAAATATTGGCAGTCATGTGAACCCATGGCTCAAGAGTGCTACTTTTTACAGGTAATTGGCACTCGGAGCAATATGGCTTTCCTCAAAGCCATCAAGCTTCCTCATGAAGCAGAGGAAAGATTGTTGGGGGAAAAGCAATTTTGGATCAATTTTCTTTGTATTAATGACAGAATATATTTTTTTTATCATCTGATCAGTTCAGCCTGATGAATATAGAAAAATATGGAATATATGTTTCCTTCCTCAAAACTGGTTTCATGTTTCTCCTGCAGAACGTCTCCCCTCAGTGCTGTTGCCACCTTCGGAGATGCCATCTCTCTTAAATATGAAATGTACAGTCAAAGTGTGATGGTTGGTTTAAAAGAATACCTCCGTTTTTGAGGGAATTGCGAAAACAATTTCTTGTCTACAGACAAAAACATACATGTACCTGAATATATTCAGTCCTTAATACTGTATAAAAATCTCTAAAGTGGCTGTTGAATTTTAATTACAGTATACAAACAGTCAAATGAGTCTCCTCTGAGCTTACACCTTAAGAACAACTGCTCCAGCCAGCTATTCCTTTTATTTTTCTACTACTGTGACTTCTTTGTTCCTAAATATATTTTTAGATTCTTTGCACTTAATTTGCATGAATATTTGTCAAAATTAGGGACCTGCTTGAAAGGATATGAGGACCGATATACATTAGTATTTTATTATCTGAGATGACTTGTATGGTGGGAAGAAGAGAGAAGCTGAAGAATAGGGAGGACTTGCCTTCCGTTATCTGAGTCCCGCTTCCTTCTGTCATTTTCAGGAGGCAGTTGCAGACACTTTGGAGGAGCTGTGGATCTCATACAACTTCATTGAGAAGCTAAGGGGGATCCGTGTAATGAAGAAGCTGAAGGTTCTCTATATGTCAAATAATTTGGTGAAAGACTGGGGTAAGCCAGGCCTGTTTCTTCCGTAACGTCTTACATTCTTATGGAGAACCCATAATTAAAGGTTAAATCAGTAAGTGGAAACCAGTTCAGTTTGCTCTAGGGACTAACTTTTACTGATAACCCTACAGAGATGCAAAGAATTTCTATATTTCTGCTCAAGCAAGAGATTAAAAATAGTTAGAAAATAGCTCAAAATTTGAAATGAATTTCTGAGCCCCATGGTTTGGAACTATCTTTCTCTGATTTATTTTAAAATAACATACCTGTTCTTTAACTTGATACCCCTTTTTGCTCAGACAGTCCCCATCCTCTTGTGCCCTGTGCTATTTGTGTTTGTATTGACTTTGAAAGGAAGGTTTGCTGCAGATGTACTTTCCATGTTCCACAATCTGGTTGGTGTTTTCACATTTGTGGTTGCAGCAGAGTTTGTGAGACTGGCAGAGTTGCCATTGCTAGAGGATCTGGTGTTTGTAGGCAATCCACTACAAGAGAAATACGCCTCCGATCAGAAGAACAGTTGGATTGAAGAAGCAACCAAACGAGTGCCCAAGTTGAAAAAGCTAGATGGTGAGTTTGGGGCATGAGGCACCTGGTAAATTAGTAGCTTAATATGAAAAAGTGAAATAAATCACAGCCTCAAAAATACATATGTAAATATGTAATATTCCTCCTTCCTCTCACTGAGTTATTATTCAGAAGCAGAGTAGCTTCTGTCAGCTGAGTTTTGCAGCCCTAGCGTCAGGAGCTTCTGAAAGGGTCTGATAGATTTCAGACTGTTAAATCTCTGCGGCCTTGCAGCTGGGCTTGATCCTTGAAGTTGTCCAGTTCCAGCACCTAACTAATAAGGAACTAAAACATATGTATGTTTATTTCTAACACTGGTTTGAAGTTCTCTTGTGGACTTCACACACTGACTTGTGTAGTTTTATACTTACATATTTAGCATTAAATAAGTTCACAAGAGTTTCATCTGCCGTTAAGTGGAATTAGAGTTTTTGGGACAAAATCGAGTGACATTTTTTTCCAGATAAAGATGGTGTTATGGGGGAATGGGGATGGGGGGATATATTTATGTACATATATATATATATTTCCTCTGTTGTGCTTCTGGTGCAAGGGCAAATTTTCAGAACTTACTTAAGTTTCCCAAATACCTGAATATGCCCCTGTTTATTTAGGCATGTGCTTTATTGGTCTACTTCAGTGTGCAGGGAACTTACCTATCCCATGGAATCTGCTAGCATGGAGAAAACGTGCAATCTGATAAATCTTTGGGGTTTGTGAGCTGTTAGCCCATTGTAGCTTGTTTTAAGTTCATGAGGACATAACTGGGAGGTGGTATCCTCAGCCCAGACTCTGAGGCACCCTTGGGTTGTGTTGTATTCATAGCTTGTATAGAGTATGTCCATACTGTGCAATGCAGCTTTAGTTCATGACACCTGAGATAGATAGCTCCAAGAAGGTGTGACCATGTAGCTTCTTGGCTGCCCGCTGAGGATTCACCATTTGGTGCTATATTTTGTAGTATCCTAGTTCAGCATCTTTGGGGATGTGGCCTGTGCGTTATGGCATGAAAGTGGCAGTACAAAGTAAGGGCCATCCAAGGGGGAGGGTTGCTGGATGCTAGCAGCTGGAACATCACACTGCACTTCCCAGTGCCCAGGCTAGGCTGAACTCTGTGGGTCATGCTGTAATACTTCTTTACTTTCAATATCTTTTTGCTGCTAAAGAAGTTAGAAAAGCACTCGAGGAGATCTCTTTAGTTAAGAGAGATTCAGTTATGAAGCAAGTTGGTGTCTACAGTTAGAAGCAGTGGCAGCAAATAGTTGTGCAACTTTTTCTTCTTTCTGATAGTCTAGATAAGGTTTTCAGGTATATCAGCATCAACTTTTCTCTGCATAATCTATTTGTAAATCTTTGCAGATTTGTTCTTTCTCTTTCTTTCAGGTATCCTAGTTATTAAACAAGAAGATGAGGAAGAAGGAGGAAACTGATAAAGCTTTCATGTTGAGTATTTAATTACTTAAGTATCTTCAGAATGGCTCATGGAACTTTTATATAAATGTTTGTTTTGAAGAAAACCCTTGGGCAACTTTTAAAAGACTAGCTTATCTCCACAGTCTCTCACTTGAATTGTTTTCCAAAATCGGGGCACATCAATCTGTCCATCTCATGTCACCTTCTGAAGAGATGAGTGGAGCTGAGTTTATCTGCTGTTTGACTGACAAGAGATCTTCACCTAAAATAATACGTAATTCTTAAATCCCTGATTAATGGTGCTTGCTGTACACTCTTGGGTTATAGCAATTTTAGTTTGTTAAGTGCAGCTGGCCAACATTATCATTTGAAACTCTGAGGACAAGGGAGCAGCACTGTGTTTTAGAGAGACTTTATAGGCTTTGTTTTTTTTAATTTTGTCATTGAATCCCTTAATATTTTCAATATGTGAGTTTGCCTTTTCTGCTCCTTAACCGTTATGCCAAACACGCCCAGTAGTTGTGGACCTGTGCACAAAAATGGTATTGGTCTGATGATCTCTTGCTATTGGCTTTAAGTTTTGAATTGGTTTTCTTGCATTCAATACTTAACTTCATTGATTAGAAAGCCATCTATAATGCTGTATGTATTTATTTATTTTAAAGAAGCAATAGCACCTTTTTACACAGTTTCAGATGAGACTAAAACTATTTACTTTTTTTTTATTTGTCTCTTGTAAGACAGTATTTTAGATTGGAATGTGTAGACTATTAGCCTGCAGCTGGCTCCCAGTTTCTTTTTGGTTGATTTGGGGACAATCCTTCTTGGCTCTGGAGTTTTCATAAAACAAGGCAGGCTAATAATCACAAACAAACAGTGAACAAAAGACCTAGCTTTGAGCATTTTGGTTTGGAGGACTCTTGCTTTCCTTCTAAAGCACAATGTAAGTGATGGGTGAAAGGTTTATGTAGTTAGTGAGGAAGGAGAGACAAGGTGGGAAGTAGGCACTGGGAAATAAATCTTGAAGTGCTAAATGTGCTGAAATGCAGGGAAAATAGATTTGTAGAGCCCCCATATGTGACAAGTAACTGATTTGTAGTGAAATGCATTAAGTACTGATGAAGACATATCTGATTGCACTACTGGGGGCCATTAGTGACTGTTTTTCCTCCCTTCTTTAGAGAACAGATCAAGTGACCTATGTAGATTTTTCTGCCTTTTTTTTTTTTTTTTAAGAAAAGGCTTTTCTTCTCTCTGTTGGTACCATCTTTGTTTAAATTAGAATGGCAATGAGTCTATTTGCCAGTTCCAGCATTGATGTAGAAGGGACGGAGGCAGAACTCAGCTTTTTATTATTTTGTTTGTGGCGGTGTCACAGGGTAGTGTCAAGATAGTGGAAGTCAGGGTCAGAGAAGAGAAAGGTTAAGTAAGTTGGTCCAGGCAACAGTGGCGTTCAGCTGCTCTTGTGATGGGCAGGAATATTCAAGCTGCAGGTCTAATTTTAATAGATGATAATTCTAGCGCTGATTAATTTCTAAGTGACCAGTACAAACTAGAAGGTTACAAGCAAATTATAGTTCCTTTCCAGTATATTCTTTCTAGTTATTAGAGCAAACCTTAGGCATTCTGACTATGATTGGCAATTGCAGGTAAGACTTAGGCTGGATTTAAGTCCATTTTGTGAAATAATGTCAGAAAAGCAGTAGTGAAAAGCTTGAGGCATTCTGAAGAAGCTATTTCCAGACAGCTATTTATCCTGACCAGAAAGCTGCCTGTTTCTTAATTAGCTCACTGGATTTATCTTATGGAGAACTTCATACTCAGATGTAGTTCCTTTTTAGGGTTATTCTCCTGTCTTTAGCACTAGTAAAGTCACCATTGCCCGAGAAGTGTGATGGGAGACAGAGTATTGAGTTAGTCAACAGCCAGGTCATATTGACCTCTTTCAAAACCAATCCCTTGGGTTGTCTTGCAGGCAGCTGCTTTTGGGAAGGTGGATGTGCTTCCAGACCATGCATCATGCAGTGCTTTGGCACCCTCTGCCTCTGCCCACCCTCTTCTGTGGCACAGCAAGGGGAACTGTTTCGTGCTCCTGACTGCTGTAGTTAAAATCTATTTAAAATGAGCCAGAACTTGAGTGAAACAAAACTTGAGTTCTGACTATTGCCAGCAAAAGGAAACGCCAAATTCATATGCACTGTGGGGAGAGCTTTTTGGCATTGAATATTCAGTGCCCTTGTGGTGGAGCACGGCCACAAGCCCTGTAGGTGTTTTCTCACAGTGGGATTTCTATAGTTGTGGTACGTAGGGCTGAGGCAGCTCCATGGATGAGGACAGTCCAGTGCCAAGTATAATCCTCCTGGGGGACTTTTTATATAGCTAAATACCATCTAAATAGTGTGCATTTAGGAAGGCAGAGTTAAATACATAAAATATTCTATTTTTGACTTTTTTGTGACTTTCTGAGAACAGAATGTGAAATTGGGACTATGTGGTGGTACTTTGAACACACCTTGCGCTCCAGTGATGAGACTTGAAGGCTAAAAGAAGTGCAGCTCCTCGCTCTTGCAGGTGACAAATGCAGTGTATCTGTATGGCAGTTTTGCCAAGAAGAGCTTTGGCAAGTGGTAGTTTGTAAAGCTGTCTTCATTCAGTGGCCCGTTGGCATCAGCTCTTCTCACAAATCAACAGCACAAATTCTCTAGCTCTTCTTCAGGGCTGCATTATAAATACCTCAGAAATTCACAACTGAAGGAACGGGGCATCTATTTATAATCACAGTAAGGTGCTTTAAAGTATAAGATTTCCTACTCCCTTTCACCTTTCAAAGAGTGATAAATTCCAGCATATCATCTAAACCATTCTGATAAAAAGCATCAGTTTCAACAGAAACAATATGGTGAGAGAAAAAAAAAAAACAGACTGTGGAGCTCAGAGAGAGTCCAGCTTAGAGCTGGGTGGACGTTTCAGCTTAGTTTTGCTTTGCCTCATGAATCGTGGGTCCTTTCATGACCAAATCAAGCTTTCCCTCCCTTGCCCCCAAACTTCTCCTTCAAAATCAGTAGTTTTTCATACATTTTAAGATTTGCACTTTAAAATTATGCAGTGGATGTGGTAGGAGGTATACACAGAAATAGGACTAAAGCAGCTGAGTTGCATGTTGAGGCATGTCATTTATAAGCTAAGCATGGAGGCTGCCTCACCAAGTTAAAGAAAGTTAAAGTTGTCTTTCTGCAGCACTCTGATGGCAGATATCTCACCACATCCATTAAAATAATGAGCACATTTTTATTCATGGATGAGAATAACACCCATGTAAAACTCTCAAGCCATGTGGAATACTGCTTTTCCACAGGAATTATGGAGGATTAGCAGCCACTTTATGCCTTAGGAAAATTTCCTAAAATAAAATTATCACTAGAGAAATAGATATTTTGCTTGCTTGCTAGCACATTGATGTTTGTAAAGAGCTGATGCGTGGATCGAGTATATTGAGAACTGCTGGAAAAAGGTAAGAAGGGAACTGAGAGCAGCAGGTCTCCCAGTCTAGTTGTAGATCACTCGGGTTACACTAGAAGTAGCCTCGTCTAGAAAAATCTTCAAGCAAGAGAGCACTTTTAACATCTACTTTGGTTATCTTTTCTATAAGATGATTTGTAGCATGACCAAGCTGTTTAATGTGCTGTGTTTAAGTTATTTAGGCCTATGTTTATACATGTTATTCAGTGAAATGTATTTAAAACAATAGTGTTATTTTATACAAAAATGTTTGGCTGTTGTGTAACAAAATAGTTCCGCTTGTGGACAGCTTTCAGAAATTAAATTTTGTTTTCATTAAACTTTCCTAGCTGCTCAGGGAGCAATGTATTCATAGTATGTAAATACTGTTCCTTTTTGCCTCTATATTTTAGGATAGGAAATAACTTAGGCTTTAAAAATGTCAATATATTGTGATTGTTGTCATCAGGCATAAATATTTTTCAATATTTTAAGAAAGACATTGTTAGACTTTGTTCCTCTGTCCTAAGAAACAAATCTATTCCTTTCATAAGGGGAAGAAAAAAAAAAGATAAATAAAGTCTTGGTCTTATTTTAATACAAAATTCCTAGTTCATGTTGAAGTTGAACTGTGTTCATCGCAATATAGAATCAATTTCAATAAAGCAGGACAGGCTTTATTGAACACCAAATGCGTTTAAGGTTCCTATTAACTAAAAGGGCTTCTCTTTCAGGAATTGAAATAGCCTCTGGAAAAACTTGCGCTTGGAAACACTTGGAAAAAACGAAGCGAAACCGCAAGGCAAAAGCCGCGTTAAGCTGGGGGTTTGCGAGCGGGGCGTGGGAGGAGCTGGGACCGCGCGCAGCGGCCACGGCGTGCCCTCACCTCGGCAGGAGGAAACCAAAGCAGGGCTGCCCCAACGGGGCTGAACTAAGTTTTAGTCTCTTGCGCTAAATCCCCTCAATCAGCTCTGCCAGCCCTCTGGGCATGAAAGTACAGCTGTCAGTATAGAGGAGCAAATTTTTGTTGTCTTAATTTCGACAGCCACCTTCTTGTATGAGGCTGCAGTTACAATCTGAGGCCAGTCAGCCTGCTGTACGTTTCTAGAAACCTGCTTCATTTAATGAGCCATTCTTTGATTTCACAAACACCACGTTCATAGTGTTGGGAAACAGAAGGCACCTACAACCAGCTCACTAGCGAAACAGGAGGAACTTTCTTTCAAAGTTAGGGAGGTTATATAAATATTTCTTAAAAACCACAGCAAAAAATCCAGCTACTGCCAGAAGAAACAAGACTAATACTGTATTTTAAAAAGAAAGTATAAAAATGTTAGATCTAGACAACAAACAAGTTACAACACTATTAACTAAAAAAAAAAATCTTTTGAAGTTCTGCTGATGAAAAATACAATGCAATATGATTTACTGGAACCATCATTTCTGCATCCTACAGATACATCCACAGTGCAGTAGGAAAATAATGTCAATTTCTTTGTAGCTTTACTTCAGGCTCTACTTTTTATCCCACCTGCAGCCATCGA